CCTACTTCAGCTTCTTTTGGCTTTGTGGCTGTCCTTTTCCAGAGACTTGTTCAGAAAGTGCCTTCTCACCTGCAGGAAAGTGGCTGAAGAGAGGTCCTGTAGCTAGAGCCTTTCTGCTTCCAGGAAGTTAAAAGAGACTTGGCACACAGCTACAATAGAAAAATAATAGGGGGCTGCATCCTTAGCTGGTGTAAATCATCACCAGGTCGGCTGATGCTGCTTGAGGATTCATAACATCGTCTTAACCTGCAGTTGGCTTTGTTTCCAGTTTTGCAGTCTGTGGTATGTATAGGTGGTGGTATCAGGCTTTGAGTGGACATTAGTCCGTATGAGTTTCTGTCATACACCCAACCGCGTTTCCCTTTCAGCTCTCCCCTCTTTCTATTTATTACTGTCTGTCCAGCCTTCAGGAGTGGTAGCTCATCAGCAGGTGAAATGTAATGGTCTTCATGGAGCCTCCTGTCTCATAATGGCTTGTTGTTTTCTTTTCCAGAGGGGCGGATGCTCATTCAGGACATCCCTTCCATCCCCAGCAGAGGGCACTTGGAGAGCACATCTGATTTGGTTGTGGACTCCACCTACTACAGCAGTTTTTACCAGCCGTCCTTGTATCCTTACTATAACAACCTGTACAACTACTCCCAGTACCAAATGGCAGTGGCCAGTGAGCCTTCCTCAAGTGAGACGGGGGGTACGATTGTAGGGTCGGCCATGAAAACCAGCCTTCGAAGCCTCCCAGCAACTTACATGCAAAGCCAGTCAGGAAAACAGTGGCAGGTATGATGTTACAGAGGTATGACAGGGGAGAGTGAGGTGGATGATAACATGTTTCTCGGGCCTGATTCTAACCTTCTGTTTGCTGGTTTCATGGCAGTGCAAAAGCAGAACCAGATTTCTGGGTGGGATTAAGACCCATGTTAGGAAAATTAGCTGTGGCAATTATGATGGAGCACAATGAAAGCAATGATACAGGTATAGGTAGGTTGCCACAAGCACAGATAAAGGCCACCCACTTGCTTTTGTCTTTTGAGTTATGTCATAGTTGATTATGAGCTGTTTTCTGGAGGAGTCCAACTGAGTTACCCAAAATAGCATCCTGGTAGCTTCAGGTGTCATTTCTGAGAGGCTTTCCTCTTCAGGAACCTGTTCTTTTCTAATATTCACATCCAAGGCACTGAAGTGACCCAGGGTACAGTGCTGGTGGGCTGGTCATTGTCAGTTGAATGTGACATGGCATGTTGTGTTCTGGCAGCATCAGCTCCAGCGTTTGTGATTTCAACTTGGATAGCTCAGTTTACAGGCTGTGCCTGTAACTAACTTCATTAGTTAGGGTATGAAACCAACTGAGCCCTCTCACTCTAAGACTTGGTAATTGTAGCCTCCAACTTACTACTAGTTGGAGACTGGAAAAAGTGGAAATCTGCCAAGGCAGGGGATTCTTGGCAAAGTAAGTGGAGCCATTTCTGTCACCCTGAGGCTGTTTGGTCTTGGGCTGCAGTGGTGCTTTTCTGTGTGAGATTGAAGTCGGGGAAGCTGCACTGTTTGAGAATCTATGCCCTATGTCTCTTGTCCAAGGGCAGGAGAGGGCAGGTCTCTTCTGTAGAGCATCAAGAGGGGGCAGGCTGTGTTATGCTGTGTTATGAAACCACTCAACAATGAAAGATTAAATGTCCACCAAAACCTTCTTTCTGAAGGGAAAAGATGGGATGTCCCTTTTGCTGACAGAGAATTCCTTTAGCAATTCTGTCACAGGGACCAACACTGAAAGAGCATTTTAATTTCTGATACTAAGGAGCTGGAACTAAGACCAGGGTGATTACAATTACTGCAGCAGTCCACATCACCTTCAGTGAGGCTTTCATATCACTGGATGCTTTTTCCATGGAAAGGTCCTTCTGAAGATGCAGAGGCATCCTCTCTAGCTGCTGAATTTGATCATTAGACCAGGGTGAGAATTAGTCAAGGCAAACTTGGAATAGGATTTTGTGTGTGTTAGTGAGGTGAGGTGCCAGTGCTTTTTCAGCTTTTTCATTTGGTTGATCTGGTTAACCTGGCATGTCATAGCAGAGTGTTTCAGATGGGAAGTTACTTCTGAAGTTTTTGCAGTACCTAGCTTGTAAGAGCCTACTGCAGAGTAGATGCTTGGAGACACCGTCACAACACAAGTGAGGGCAGCAATATTTGTCTTTTGAAAACGATGTTCTTGCAAGCAAGTAGGCCCACACTTCACCATTCTTCCAGCCAGTAGACATGTCATTTGACTTGCTTGCGAAAAAGAAAAGTAAATTGAAGGTATTGACTGTCCTAGCACATAGTATTTGAGAAAGAGATATGTGAGGGTGTGTTAAAAGATGTTAAACCTTGTCATGAAGATGTTTTCCTCTCCATTCTGTTGTCATCTTCTGTCTGTCTTTTGAAATTAGACTGTATACTTAAGAAGTTTGAGGCTAGAGGGTCCATTGTCTCACTGTGAGATTTCCTGTTTCTTGTGGGACCTTTGACAGGCCTTAATGAAGTAAAAACTGTAGTCTTTTTTGTATGGATTTTTCTCTTCAGTTCCTGCAGAATCTGTAAGAATACGGCAGAATCTTCTCTTTAAATGCTACTCAAATTAGTGGATACCAAAAAGGTAATTAAGGAAAAAAGATATGATTGTTGTCAAAAACGACTGTTTCCCTTGTGCCAGCAGGCTCTAAGAGCTGTTTGTTCATTCTCAGCTTGCAGGATGTATCACGTAGTTCCATTCACCTCCAAGTGAATGTAGTGATTTACCTCACCTGAGATTTTAATTTCTTCTGACCAAGCCTTTTGGGATCTCTCAGTGCTGTTCTGGTGAGACGTCTGTGCAGAGAGACTAGAAGCAGGGCTTTCTGGCTGCAGTGTGGCATCTCCCCAGCTTCTAAATGGCCTAAACCCAGGATTTGCCTCTCCTGCTCAGTGGGCAGAGTGTAGTTCAAGGTGTCGTGTAACTAAGCTGTTTCTCATGGGCTGATATGCGAGAAGGATTGTTGTTGCTGGAAGAGTTACAAATCATGGGGTTTGCATATGTTATGACAGCATTACATTGTACAGATAATCATAAAAAGTTTTAGTGAGACACAGGCTAGATAATGTTTGCAGGCAGTAGGTGCAGTGGTGCCAATGTTGTAAAAACACTGTGTGGCACTAAAAGTGGTTGGTTGTATGGGGAACGAGTTCTTAGCTGTTGCACATGGTTAAACATCAATTCTGCACATGGCAGTTTACCAGCGACAGAAGATCACAGAAACAGAGTGTTAAATGGAGAAGGACGAATTAGTTTCTCTGTCAGGCACAGTAAGGAGTTACAGGAGAGTTTCAGAGAATGATCCACAAAAAGAAATCAGGCCTTGCTTACACCTTTGGGGAGTTTAGTGGCAAACCCATGCAGGCTGATTCTCCAAAGGAAACATGTAGCTGTATCTACACAGGAATTTTTGTTGGACTGCCTGTACTGACTGGGTTTAATTTTTTACATGCGCAGGCTTTCTTAACCAGTCTTCCAGTACGACTGAGTCTTCTCATGTGAGTGGTAGTGCTGTAACTGTTTTCATCAAGGTTTTTGATTTTTGCTTCTTCACCAAAATTGTAGCTGTGCAATGCTTGCTGTAACCAAATCAGGGCAGCTGAATAAGCTGTGAGCTTGCAAAAGGGTTTCTTTGCATAAGCTACCTATGTGCTCACTGGAAGTTATCCTAGTTCACGGCATGTAGACATGACCTCTGCCTTTTCCAGGCTCTGTTGGTGGAGGCTCACTTGTCCTGGAGTAACTTTAAGCAAGCAAGAAGATTTGCATAAAGTAAGATAACTTGTGGGTGCACACAAGGCCTTAATCAGCCCAGCTGTCTGCTGTTTCAGAATTCAGGGAGCAAGGGAGAAAGACATGGAGGAAATGTGTGAGCGTGTGAAGGATGGGCTGAGGATTAAAGCATCACTGAGCCTTGGCAAATAAACTGAATCACTGAATCTTCAGTGTAGATTAATGTCAGATTTCATTAGTCTTTGTTCTTTACTGAAGCTTGTGTACTTGGGTAGATTCATAGAGGTGCAACTTTTTCAGATATTTGTGTGCAGGTTTTGTTCACTGGTATACAATTATCACAGAAATTCTATCCATCATGATGTGATAAGCATAATGAAGACAATACCTTTGGTCAAGAACCCTTCAGTCATTTGTATCCTGCTGCTTTTGCCAGCTGTAAGGCAGGTAATCAGATACATCTAGTGTTAGCACATGAAGAAAAGGCAATCCTTGGTCGCGGAGGAAATGCAGCAGATCTGGTGATTACGTGCATCTCTTTTCACTCCAGTTCTGTGTGAATGTCTGGACCCTCCCTTGAAGCTCTCATAATTGTGAATTCAATCCAACTAACAGTTAAATGGGTTCACCAACATTAGTACTGCAAGTCGGAGCATTGTGTCATACAGTGGAAGTAGCTGTTTCTGAAATCAGTCTCACTGCAACCCACTTTAAGGACAGCAACTGCAAAATGGTGGGGTGACTGCAGTCTTTTCTACCACAACAGAAGTAAAACCTGGATGGGCATACCCAAGTCCAATCAGGTCTAATTCTCCAAGCTGGCCATGAAACTGCTGGTATGTGATCCACTGCATAAAGATAATCGTGATTCCTTGTGAGTCCTGTGTCCTTCTCAAAAAGTGTTAAAACTCTTCTGACCATTAAAAATCTGGAAGATAGAGAATGTGCCCCACACTTGGGAACCAGTGGCTATGTCTTCTTCTTTACTTTGGTAACTCCAGGCATTCTGCTTCAGAGAAAGGTTAAGGCTGGCCAAGGGGTTTTGTACATATTTCAGAATTTCAAACGATTTATGTTTCATGCTCTGAGGTGGGGTTGTTGTTTTTTTTTTTCTTCTTTTTAAAAAAGAAATAAAAAAAGCCAGTATTCTCATTCATTAAACCAGTTTAGAGCAAATAACTCAAATAAATATTCATGAGAGTCAGACTGAGAAATTTTATGAGACATTTTAACATTTTTTCTAATATGGGAACTTTATTTACTATTTGGCAGTGAAATAGTTAACATTGCTGGCTAGAAAACTGTTTTTTAAGGATTTCTTTAAAAGCAGCAAACATAAAACCTCGTCTTTTACTAAATCCAGAAGAGTGTGGCCATGATAAGACAGGTAGCAGTCTGAATTCTTAGGAATAGCTGCTTGCTAGTAAAAAAAGATTAATTTTTTTCAACTTTCACCACCTGTTTCTAGTTTCTGGCACAGTTTTTCCTCCAATAAGCCTGGACTTCTTACAGAAATGTGTGGTGTAACTCTCCAGAAATAGGTGTAAAATGTGTGTTTGTGTAAATATTTACACATACATATGTATATACACAAGTCACCCAACACAATCGTGATTTTATGTGTAAGCAGTGTATTATATACTGTATTCATAACATACCCTTCACACTACAGATTTATGCTAAAAGTATCCTAATGTTTCTGACAGCTCATGTGTGACATGAATGCAATCCATATTTCTTGGAGGAGCTAATCTAAGCGGTTTATTTTCCGATACTGCTGATAGGGCTATATCTCTAGGTGTCACCGCAGTTGAGATTCTGATGGTAACATATTGTTTATGGGTCACTGCCTTTGTCTAAAAGAATAGGTTGGAACAGAATAGCAAAGGTTAATTAAGTTTGTCTATCAAGGAGGGACAGATATAGATGTCTCTTGTGTTTTCTATGCTAGAATCAAAGTAAGTCAAGGCAGGGTATCATAGACTCATTTTTTCCTCGTGCTGGAAAATGTGCTTAGCTGGTTTTAGGAATGAAACAAAGCCACCTTGGCAGCGTGAGTGCAGCAGTAGTTGTATGGGGTCACCTCATGGGCAGCAGCATCGCAAGGTGGGAGAGTAACAGCAACCTGGTTTACAGCTGGAAAAGCTGAGGCAGGGAAGTACTCATGATCACACAGCCCGCAGATGTCAGAGTGGAGATTCCTGATGTCTGGATTCCCACTACGGTGTCCAGTGGATGCAAAAACAGTGACCTGCGAATTCTGTTGTTTGCAGTCAGTGACACATAAATGCAAAATGTAATTTTATGACCCCTAAATCTGACTTTATTGCTAAGATCAAGGCAAAAGGAGCAGCCTATGTTAAAACTTTCGGCAGAGTTTCTCTGGTGTTTCCATAGTTACTGGTTTTGGTTTAAGCATCTCTTAGTGAGTCATGGGTGAGGCAGAAGGATGGAAAGCCTGGGTGAAGTGGTTTGGCCCAGACCATGAGGCACACCAGTGGCAGAGTCAGCAGATAGTACTTTCATCTCTGCTGTTGCTTCGAATTTTTTGCAGCCCTGTCACCCAGGATTGCCATCTGCAACCTCCTCCTACTTGTCCTTTTTGGGAATACGCCCCATGGTCAGGATCAACTGCAAAATGTAAGGTGCTGTTAAGAGTAATGCTGGCTTGCTTGCAAGGAGATTGCAGCCAGTGGCTTCTGAAAATAAAAGAACTACCTGGGAGGTATTTTGTCTATCGTCTGGGAAGGGCAGGACCGTTTTCTAGTCTCCAGAGCTGGAAGGAGAGCTTTTTGCCTGCCTCCTCAGCTCTTCCTGGATGAAGAAGATATGTAGAGGTTATGAAGGCGCTGCCACGAGCTTGGAAAGGAGGAGCTTTATGTCGCTTTTCCAACAGCTCTTGAGAAAGCTGTTTCATGGGAATGGTCTGAACTGATAATCTCTTTTCTTTGTACTTCCCTGTGTTTCGCTATGTATTCTGTCACTGTTGGGTATGCTGTAGTGATGGAAAAATCGTGCTTCCGGCTTGACTGTTTGTGAACAAGCTGTAGCTGCTTCTGTGATTCTTCGTATTGGCTATTCAAGGGAAAGAATTTTCACTGCATGCATGGTCTTTTAATCAGGCCATACTTATTTGCTCATGAGTTCTATGCACGCCACCGTTGCTTGCAGTACATCCTTTAAGAAATTACTGAGTGTGCGCTGAGTTGTACAGTTTGTAAATGTAATGTTAAATGTTAAACAGGCCGAATGTGTTTCTTCAGTGATCTGTGTCTCCCATTGAAGTCAGTGAGGTTCTTGGTGAATCAGTCCTGCTCCTGGGGCAGGGCACAAGTGATGTGTGCCTGGATGGGGATGTGAGCAATACAGGAGTTAACTCAGGAGCTCAGCTTGCTCTCTGCAAAGAGCAAGTGCATGCCCTTCCCCTCCATAGCACTTCCTCACCTAAGGAGATGTCCTGTTCTTCTGGTGTGTAGCCTGCAATGATACAAACCAGAGTGGTTTGTGGGACAGTCCTAAACCCTGCCTGTCTTGATCTCGCTATAGGGCTAGAAGGGGCGAGGGAGGCAGGAGGAGACACCGAGGGGCCCCAACATGAGTCCAGCATTCCTCCAGGACAGGACCCAGAGAAGGATCCCAAACAAGGCACCCGGCTGCAACATTTGGAAAGCCGAATTGCCCGAAGTTAGAAGTAATATGAATATTTCACGGCCTCCCCATGGCTGTTTTATCTCCCTTTCTGGCACGCAAAAATATTCAAGGACTGTCCAGAGCTGCAGGAGTTAATACAGAGCAAATGCCCCTTCTCATGGAGTAGTGATCTCCTAAGCCCCCTTTTTAATGCAGTGCTAAGGTCAGGAATTTTTACGACTGGTTGTTTTTTTATTGTTACTGTAAAATAGGACTGCTAAGCACTATAAAAAGGAAACCTTATGGTTCAGATTTACTGCAGTATGTATTCTAAACAGTTTAATAAAACAAAACCAAAAGCTTTTAGATTTTCTTCAGTGTTTAATACACAGCATATTCTTTGCAGAGCCAACCCTGTGGCTGTCGGTCGAACCGTGGTTCATAGACTTGGTGTGGGTAATAAGATTATAAAACATGTCTCTTGCTAGCCAGCTACCACACACTACTAATAATAGTAGTAATAATTCATCGCATCCAGAGATTTTAGGTAGGTTGTTTTTTCAAGAAATGGAGAAAAACCCTAAGAAAAGGTTTGAAAGGAAACAGGTCACTGCATCTGCTCCACGGGGAGAGGCAGCATGCACGTGATCATTTAAGTTCTAGGGAGTGATCCCTCCATTTTGTTAGAGCTGAAATAATGTTGTCTCCTGCTGGAGACCTTCTCTCTGTTGTACATATGCACAGAAGCACAAGGGAAAGGCAGGGATGTGAGGACTGTGGCTGCTGCCCGCAGCCCTGCCCCACTGAGGGAGAGGAAACTGTGTGCGAAACAGCAGGCAGAGAGGAGTTCGCTCACTCTTTTATCCCGGAGTAACTTCTAGAGCTGTTGAGCTTTGCAGATGTGCAGGTGCAAAATGCCCTTTGGGCTGAGTTTTTGGGCAGTTAGTGTTGCTAATCCATAATTTCAGGGCAGTGGCAGCCTGGGTTTTGTTGAAGAAATCTGTGCAAAGCAGAGATGTCTGTTTCCAAGAGAAGGCTGCAGTTTTCAGAAGAGCAGAGGGGTGTCAGTGGCCTTTTCGATTTCAGGCTTCCTTCAGATGACATACAACTTTTTTTTAAAGCAATTTACCATTTATCTTGAGTGAAACTTGAGTGCATGTTGAGCTTTCTCTGCGTGCATAGGGTACAGATGGTAAAAAAAATACCTTTAATTACTGCTTTGAATTATTATAGAAAAACTTGCACTTTCACCGACTAAAAGAGCATGTCCTGCCAATCCCTTAGTACATGTGCAAATACATGTGACTGTGCTGCTCTCAGAAGACAGGCAGTGGTATACTTTGCTTCCCTGTAAACAGCAACCCCTCTCTCTTGCCACTTAATCTCACTGTAAACCTGGCTCCTCGTGGAAAGTGGGATATTGCCCTCCATTTCAGAGAGCACCAGCAGGATTTTATGTGACTTGGGCCACGTTATTTCCAGCTAGGCATAATAAAATGAATGCTGTGTTATTCAGGGGGCCCCAGGAAAACAAGGGGTGGCTGCATTCTGGCTCCTTGCTGGAGGTGCCAGTGCCAGTGCCAGGAGAGGCTGCGAGGCACTTTTGCTTGCAAAGATATGTCTGATGGACATCTGGACGTACACTGCTTACTGTTGGCACTGCTACCTTTATACCTGTGTTTTTTTTCTCTGCCTGGAAGCTTTCCATATTGCAGTCATTCACTGCTCAACAGGGAGACCTTTCCTGTTGAAAATCTTAATCTTGTGAAGTGTTTGGTTGCATTTTTTCAAGCACTGTAGCCACATTACATTGTAGGGCTTTGGAACAAATAATAGTAGATGGTAGTTCTTTCATAAAGTAAAAATCTAAGGAGATCAGTTTGGATTATACCATAGTGTTGGAGTAGGATAAACCTTGATTTCTGAGCGCTGCCAGCTTTTCTGCAGGGAGGAGAAGGGGTTGTCCAGTGGACACCGTGCTGACACAGCAGACCTGCTGGCTGGTGTCCAGCTGTGGCTCCATTAAAGGCTTCTCATGTAGTCTGACACAACTTGGTTTCTCTGGGTAAATTGGGAAGATATTTTTCCATCTCATTGGGTCATGAGGAGTGTATGTGTGTGTGTGTGTGTGTGTGTCACTGCTCGGGTGCTGCGGAGTGTGTGCCAAGGGAGCCGGTTGGTAGGACTGTCCTCCTTAGGCACCCCATAGGTCTCTGGCAGAGCAGTTATCACCAGTCTTAGGTGGGTTGGTCTCTGCGGAGGTGCAGGGATTGGATGGACACTTCACCTCTGACACTGGGTATGTGCAGCTGAACAGGTTTGGAAAGCTTCTTGTTGTGTCATCTGTGCCATAAGCAGGGGACTTGTCAGGAAGCTCCTTGCAGTGAAGGGTACATGCTTGTGTGCCAGGTGCAGCTCCATCTGAGGTAAGATAAACCAGCCAGAGGTATGTCAGTGCTGCTGCTGCTGTTGCTGTTGCTGTTGCTGCTAGGTCACTTCCCATCCCACACCAGCTTGCCTGTATCTGGGCAGTGTAGGCATGCTGTCAGCCAAACAAAGCAAAAACCCAAGGCCAGCATGTCAGGGTTTTACTTCCATTTACCCCTGTGCTCATGTGGGGCAATGTGCTGCCCGCCTGGTGCTGAGGCTCAGTTTCACAGGCTGCTGTTGGTTTCTGTCTACAGGTGAAGGGCATGGAGAGCCGCCATGCCGTCAGCTCCCAGTACCGCATGTGCTCCTACTACCCGCCTGCCTCCTATCTGGGACAGGGTGTTGGTGCTCCCACGTGCCTCCCCCAAATCCTGACCTCGGAGGACATCCCCTCCTACTCGGAGTCAAAAGCAAGAGGTAAGTGCACCCACCAGGGCGTCTGGGACCGGTTTGCCTTGGGGCAGGCTCCCCGGAGGTGTGGGTTGTGCTGGGAAGGAAGCAGGGCATCAGAGAATAGGCATTTACAAAGTGGTGGCTGTTTGCTGGAAGGCTTGTGACAACATGGGACTGTTACTGTGCAGTAGTGAGACCTTGTACTTAAGAAGTCTTGTTCAGGAATGCAGTTGGTTGTACATTTCTTCTCCTGTGTATGTCTTTAAGTTGTATGAAGAGTCACTTGAGGTGCTGTCTTCAGTGCTCACCAGCTGGCTCCCTCACAGGAACAAAGAATTGTCTTTGCCCCAACCACAGAATTATTTTTCCTCTCTTTTCTTGTCAGAAAGGCTGTCCATGATTTTTCCACAGGCCTCCCACCAAGCCTTTGCTGTCCTCTTCTTTCTGAACTATGAATGGGAACTATTTCTGAATTTCAACCACATCATGAAGCCTTTTGCAGACTTCCTTCCTTGTTCACTTTCAAGCTCATCACACTGTGTTACTTAATTTAAAACTACTGCAGATATTTTTTTCTTTTCATATCCAGGGCTTTTTGGCTTTCCTAAGGATTGCTATAATCTGCAGTAATTTCCAGGTGAATTTGCCCTGTGATTTTGACAATATTTCTCTCCCTTTCTTGTTCCCTTGCTCCAGTAGCTGGTAGAGTGTACCACAGGCATTAACATGGCCTGCTGGAGTAGACCAGCTCCACTGAGCTGCTTCCGTGTCTCTGGAACCGAACAGTAACTGGTGCTAGAGAAATAAGGAGAAAAACAGAGAAAGAGTAGGGTGATCCTGTTTCATTTGTCCAAAATCCTCACACTCCTACAGCATTCAAAGTTATCCTGAGCTGGTGATTGCCTCTGAACCATTGTTTTGGTTTCAAGCAGCAGACCTTCACTCCATGAATGGAGCTAACCCTCCCATAAGCTTTTCACACTTTTTGTCTCACTGTATCAGTCAGTGAATTTGGCAGTTTAATTTTGCAGGGTCTGTGGGAAGTATTTCTTCATTTCCTTTACATCTGCCGAATTTCTGTGGGGTTTTTTTTTCCCCACAGGGTAACGCCACTGGCAACAGCATCCATCTTCATTTGCTTCTCTGATACACTTACACACTGAAATTAATCTTCTTCTTTTTATATCTGATGGAAGGTTGTATGTTGCATGGGTTCCATAATTGTTTCCAGTTACGGCCTTTCTGTGGCTGACGTCCTGGTGTCTGTTGCACTGTAGCATTTGTGTTGTGGTGAGGTGTGTATGAAGTCCTACCTATGGCTGGTGTAAATCAGAACTGATCTCTTGAATTCAGTAACTCCAACGATTTATGCTGAGGAAGTGGCTGCTCTTTCAGAATGGCTGTTTCCTGAAAGTCTTCCAACTACCTGTGACATATCAGATAGATGAAGAAACAACTCGTGGTGTGATGAAACCGTAGACTTTACCTCCTTCTCCAGTAGTTCTAAATGGCTTAGAGAAATCAGTGATCCTTGGTTCATTTTCCTTCTCTTTTCTTCAATTTTATTTTCTTCCCTCTCCTCTGGCCACCATTGAGCAGTGACGTCTTCCTTTCTGCCCATTGGTCAGAGAAGCAGTTGGCTTTATGCTCAACTGTGTTTGACACTTTTTCTTGCATCCATCACTACTAACTCACTAAGAAGTCTTACCAGTTGAGTGTTCTTACAAATAGACAAAAGACCTTATACCCTTTGTTCCCAAATGCACTCCAGTGATTTTTCATCACTCTAGAAAAAGTTGTGCGCAATGTGCCACTGATTTTTAAACTGCATAAATACTGTATTTTCAATAATCCCTGACTGCTTCTCCAGACAGTATTCCACACACAGATATTGTTCCCTAAGTTACACCATCAATCAGAATCCGACAAGCAGTGAGATGTAATTTACTGAGATCAAACAGCATTTTCCAGACTCTGAAGAAGTGATTTTCCATAGCAGGGAGCTAGTGGGCAAAAAAGGCACCAATGTTTTTGTGAGAAACTTGAACATGTGAGCAGGACCATAGCCATTTAATAGGCTTCTTAGAAGCTTTTTTTCTTTATGCGTATTCTTGAAGGAGATGGCTGCTTTTACTTTTTCCATGTACAGACAAAAAAATATTCTCAGGCCGTTAGTCAATGATTTACACCCACTTCCATGACGTTTTTCTTTCTGGGTGCTTTTCACAATCCTCAGAGGGTTTGAGGTTTTTTACCTCTTTATTGTCATAAGTGCGAGGGCTGAGTCAGCCAGCAGGCTGTGAACAGCGGATCCTGCGTGTTGAGGAGGGTGATCCATTTCCCCAAAGTCCTGTCCATCCATGCTGCAAGTGCTGTCTCATGCGAAAGGCACATCTTACGCATCTCTCCATTGATTGTTGGGCTGAACTTTCTGTATAATGCTAGACTGCTTGGTGTTAAGCCTGATGACATGTTTCTGCAGGGTTACTGGTTGCTACTTGCTAAAGACAACTCTGGTGCATGTTTTAAATAAACAAATTGTATTTTACTTCTTCCTTTTCTGTGGTTGAAGTGGTAACCATTCTCAGAGACTTGTTTTCTTTCCAAGAATATATGTTCATAGATTTTAGGACCAGAGGGAACATTAGGATCATTTAATCTTACTTGCTGTATAGTGCAGACTGCAGAACTTCACGTGACAACTCCTGTAGCAAGCCCATAACTGATTTTTTTTTTTAAGATCTATGTGAAAACTTACGTACTGTTAATCCAGAAATCTTACAGGAAGGTATAGGAGAGCAACAAGTCAGAATAAAAAGTTAATTTCACAGCTGAATTTTCAAAACATCAGAAACTCGTATCTTTAACAAAATGAATTCTCAGGCACGCATCTGAGGTGGTCTTACAACACATGCAGTCTGTTACCCACACTTCAGTTGTAACTTTAGCTTTGTAGAGGTTTTGCCAGTTTATGTATTATCTCAGTTAGTATTCCAGTCAGACTCTTTCATTAATTTTGCTCTGCTGATTTAACTGACTGCTTAGACCAGTCATATTGAAAGGGAGGAGAGATGCGCTAGCAGACCACTGATGTGCACTTTCATTGTTTTTATGAATGATGCAAAGTTCTCATGAAGCTTCTGACATGTGTACATGAGGTCATACCGTGTCACAGTGTGTTGCATATAGTAATGGGCTGACATTTTCTGAATGGCAAAACATCATCAGTCAACCTCCTTGCAATTTGAAGTGCTTCTAAGTAAAAGTGGTTTGCTTCCAACTAGGCACAGCTGCTGCCCTTCCAGCTGAAACTGGAAAAAAGTGAGGAGAAAAATAAGATAAGCCAATGACAAATAGAAAAAGAATGTTTTCAGAGGGCTCTCTTAATTCACCAGGTTGTAAATTTTATATAGTAATTTCTAGGTAGGAGAGGGATTTTGTACTGTGTACTTTCAAAAGATTTTTCCTCTCTTTATTTCTGCAAGACCAATGAGAGGAAAAGATGTGTGAGATGTTGTTACCAATCTCTGTGCATGAAAAGCATGTTCTAAAACATGTCTTTCTCTTGGAAGAAGCGAAGCTGAGACATCCTTGTGCAAAAAAAGTCACAGAATTAGAATGGGTCACAGCACAGTATTTCGTCTCCAAGAGCCAAGAAGCCAAGCGCCTTATTCCCTTTGATCGATGTGGGACAGTTTCTTTTTCTTTCTTTTCTTTTCTTTTTTTTTCTTTTGAAAGGGGCCATTTCCAGGAGTTGCTCACAGCCCAGAATTGGATAGCACCTTCCACTGATTTTTAATCGGCCTATCCTGCACTTAGATTTGTGAAATACCTTAGCACAAAACCTTAGCTTGAGAGAGCAAGGAAGTGCATGCTTGGTTCATTCCTGGTCCACTGTTCCCACTGAGTAAAAGTTGAGCATTTGCTTATGTGTATGGGAATGTTTTCCAGGTTCGCAGCAGTGGCATAAAATTTAACATTCAAATAGAAGGATGCAAAAAAGAAATATCCCTGTATTTGCAGACACCTTTGATTTTAAAGTAGTTACCTTGTCTTAAAGTTGGTATGGAGTAAAAACTTTGCTATGTCATTATTACGTGAAATGTTGAGGTAACTGTTGTGCGTGTCTCTGCCAGGGGTGAAGGAGATGGCTTGCACTGGAAATGTTACTGTAGCTACTGAATGGATTTGAATTTTTGCTTTCTTGTCTTATGTGTCAGGATGGTTGGAAACACAAGTAATGAAGCACTGTAGCCATGTGTATTTGCAGCTCGGACATAAAGCAGGAGCCTGCAGCTCCTCCCAACACAAGTAAGAAAAACTGATAAAAAACAGCATTCATTCTGATGCAGAAAAAAATCAGCAGTTTTGTGTGAACTGGCAAACACCATCTTATGAAGGAGAACATTTCTAGTAACAGGATTTTTGTCAGCAGAACAGCTTCCAACACTTCCAAAACACCTTTTCATTGTTCTCTCTAGAAGCTGAATAACTGGTATCCCCAGCTTTACAGTTGTGGAAGTCAAGGTAGCAAAGACTTTTCTAAGGTCTGCATTTAAAGACTCAGCCTTGTGTCTCTCTGCTTGGATACTCTATGAAAAACCGTGCTGCACCATTGGAGAAGTCAGCCCAAACTGGGGCAGCTCCATAAGGAGCCTCTTGCAGTGGTTTCACAGTCAAGGGCATGTTGGAAACAATCTCCGTGCTTAAGACAAAAAGTTTCATTTTTGCAAGAGCATCACTGGAATGCAAGGAATGCCATGTGCGCCAGAAACATACAGGAGAGGCTGATGTTTCTTTCAGACCATGTTACCGTGCACCAAAGTCACACCCCTTTCTGAGGTTTCCTACATAGAACCTCTGTCCTTGAAATGCCACCTGAGATAAGAGTAACGCTTCATAGCCACAGGTGGCATATAGCTGTAGGATAAGAGAGGTCAAGGAGCCTTGGTTTGCAACAAGTCTTTGAGACCCTGTCTTTGAACCCGGACTGCTTTCTGCAAACCTTGAAGTTACACAGATGG